CTTCGTTCGGTTTGCTGGTTTCAATTGGGCAGGCAATTATTCTGTGAACTTCAACTCGTTCCATGGCTTGCTGATGAGTTCTGTTATATGCTGGTATCTGTTTTGGAGGGCTGCTTGTTATTGCTGGTGGTACTTTGGTTTTAAGATGTCCTTCTGTGGTTCCGCCGAACTCTTCTATGCCCCTATTGTTTTGCTGGAGAAAATTGGAGTTATTCGGCAGGCTACTAAATTCAATTTTGGATGTGCTGGTAGCAATTTTTGTTGCTGCTCTAATCCAAATCTGACGCTGCTTCGTTCTAGAGGGATTTTGGATACAACGGCAGGTTTAATTTTGAGCTCAGGACGATGATGAATCCTGCCGCTCCTTTTGGACGGTCTACGGGCAACCAAAGGAGGCTGATTGCTTAATGATTATTTCTCTTTTCTGAGTCCTGGCTACAGACTATTTGTCTGCTTTCTGTTTCTTAATTTTTTGTTTTATAGTTTTGTTCACTGCTTGCCTATTTTTCTGTGGCAATGCTTTTTGGTTTTTTTTAAAGTATAATCATTTTGTCTTTTAATAGAATGGGCCAAGCCCTCATTTTACCCAAAAAAAAAAAAAAAAACATGATCTTCCATTCTGGTACTTGTCTGGTTACCTTTTAGCGGGGTTTCAGGTGAGACGGGGCTATTTCGATGCTTCGTGCCTGTAGAGGTCTGGAACGAAAACCTTCTCGGGGTGTTGAATTTTCGCCAGCTTTGGCTCTCGGTCCGAATAACTCCCAGGCAGTCTCCCTCTTATTAGCAAGAGTCCAGATGGACAAGGCTCCAGCACAACTCACTCTCCCTCTCTCTTGGTAGAAGCTCCCAGGAAAAACGCCTAGGCTCTTGGACTCTCCCTCTCTCACGCTAAATCTCTCTGTTTCACGCTCCCGGTCTTCCCCATCTCCCTATAGTTCTTAAATCCCAGGAGAACCGAAGCTCCCCTCCCGATCTCGTGCCCCTTTCGATCGGGATTCAAGTAGGAGCCGAAGCCCCCTGTCCATTCCTCTGTTCCAGCACCCCTAGCCAAGCCCGATGCCTCCAGCCAGCTTTTGCGGAATCCAAGGCCGGACGCCCCGTCGCCAGCTCTAGCCGCTCGAAGCCCATACCTCTTCCTGCGAGCAGGTAACCCTTCCCCTCCTTTTTCATCTTCTTGTTCTTCTTCTTCTCCTCCTTCTTCTTCATCTTCTTGTTCTTCTTATTCTTCTCCTTCTTCTACTACTTATTTCACTTCTTCTCCTACCATTCCCCCTCGGCAAAATCTGAGAGCCAAGTTTGTTTGAACTTCATTTTTGCTTCATGAATGCATATTGTTGAGATGGCCGTTACATAGAGCTTGAGTAGTATTGTGAAGGTTGATTGGTTGAGTTCAATCAAGTAGGTGTTAAAATCATGATTTCCATATAAGCTTGTTTTAATTTTATATAGCTTTGCAAACTTTGCATATCAAGTGTTTGGTGGAATGCCACTAGAAGAAAGAATACTTGGTTTTGTTAGGAAATTTAGATTGGTATCATGAATGCTTAATCTCACGTCTTGATTTGGTAAAAAGATAGTATGAAGTAATACTTTGTGCTTATGTGAAATCCCATGTCTTCATTGCTCATCGCTTCACTTCAGGGCTTTTGGTAGGATTATATTTTGGATATTATATGGAATGATTTTTCTTTTTTCTATTAGCAAAACTTGTTGTTGTAAGTAGAGCCTAGCATGAAATGTGTAGCAAGTGGGTAACTCCATTCTATGTTGTTCGCATGTATTGGTGGGATGTGATATCATGGATATATTTGGTGTTATGCTATGTGAGGTTTGGTAGCTTTGTTGGATAACTTAGCTCACCCCATTTCTTGAGTACCAGTACATGCAAAGTTGATGCATGAGAGTATTTTGTTCATGTCGTAAACGTATTCATGTATGATGCCTTCACCATCGTCTCTTATTATCTAGCTTTATTACGATATTTGATTATCAAGTGATGTTTTAATGTTTTCAAGGAAAGATGAAATCACTACTAGCCATAGGTAGTCTCATGAATGGTATACTAAAAAGTATGTTGATTCATGCTATTTGGAGGATAATTTTTTTTGTTTGATATGTATGCATAACTTATGCTTCTTCATTACTATTCTTATATGATAGATGATTTGAAATCCCATGGTTAAGTTGCCTTCATCATTGTTATTTAGAGAATGTGTTGAACGGTTTCATGAAGTGTTTGGAAGGTTGTAGGAATGTCGGGAGGCATTCATAAGTTTTTTTTATATAAAGCATCTTTGGGAGAAGTATTAAAGAATTTTTATGGGTTTCAAATATGAGTTGGTTTTCTTTTGGACTCAAGCTTACTCTTGTTTTATAATTGGTTGAAATGCTTCTTGAATTTTAGAAAGCAAGTTATAAAATTTCTTTCTTGTAATCATATTGTGATTGTGTTATATTCTCTTTACATAAAGGTCTTCTTATAGCATAAAAGATACAAGTTTGTTAGAAAAGCTTCATGTGTTCATGTGATCCACTTGAGAGTTCAATTCGATTCGATACAAGGTTGCATGAGTTACATTGAATAATTCTTTTGGAGTTTTGGAAAGGATTTTGAGCTGTGTTGTAGAATATTTTTGATCCTTTTCGGGTCGATGAATTTTCTTTATGATTTTATGAGTTTGTTGAATATCATGTGAAAATCATATTGTCAATTGTGGTGGAATACTTGGCATGAGAGCAAATTCATGAATTTGGGTTAGAGATTTATTTGGAATTTTTGGTGGCATGTAGCATGAAAGTGGAAACTTGTTGGAAGATAAGTATGCATTTTATAGATTTGGTATGACATTACTTGTATCATGTTGTTGGAACATGGTTTCTAACTTGTTGGGAAAGTAAATTGATATCAAAATCTTCTTATAATGATTGCACTTTTCACTGAATAATTGAGTTTCAAACTTATATTGGTGTGTGGTTTTGTTGCTTGGCTTAAGGATTATGATATCTCTTTTAAAATAAGCATAGTTTCACTATCATGGCATTGTTGGGAGTACAAAGGGAAGGTTTGATACATGTTCAAAGCTTTATCTGTAGTCTTTTAAAGACATCTTCTTACATTGCAGTAGTTACTTGAGATGTTAAAGAAATGCTTTTGCACTATCTTATGCTATATGTTTGATTGGAGAGTAGTAGTTACATGAGGTGTCTCTTTACATGAACGAAATGTTTATCTTTCTACTTCTTTCATTACTTCTGCTTTGAGATAAAAGAAAACTTTATGATTTGCTTTATGCAAAAATCTTATGATTTGCTCTTTTTTTGTTGGAAAGATTTTGGTGGTTGCTTCATGATTAGGAGAAGTTTTGGCTTGCTTATGTTGAGGTGATTTATCATTGGCTTTACACTATTTTGTATTAGAGGACTTTATGCTATAAGTTTTGCGAATGGTTTATAATGAGAGGTTTTATAAAACTTTCTTGTTGGAAAGCTTTATGGATTTATCACACTCCAAATATAATAAGAAGCACTTGATTTTTTTTTATGTCAAAAAGAGTTTTGGTGTTTTGGTTTTCTTTTTCGACAAGAGTCTTATGTGTAGTTTCATTCAAAAGGTTTCTTAAGTCATTTTTAGGATTTATGGTTTTATGATGAGTTTTGTGTAGCAGGGTCTCTTTTGATGTCTTCTTGAAACGAATGACCTTTCTTATTTGAATTAGCTTTCTTTTACTAGTGTTTGTTTCTAGAAGTTGAGTTTAGAAGAATGTTGAAGAAAACTTGTTTTGAGTTTTAGTTTTTTGGAGCTTGTGCCATTTCGTCGTTTTTGAGCTTTATTTCAGCAACAATTTGGTCAGTCGTTTTAAATGTATCAAGTGCTTTGTTTGGAATGTGGGGATAGCAAAGGACATTGAAAATACCTTCTTCTTTATTCGTATCACATCGAATTAGGGAGAAGGTTGTTTTAGAGGCACACTTGGCTTCAAATAAATATGCCCAACAATAACAATGCCTACATTCTTTTTATGTTTAATTTTCATTCTTTTCTTTATACTGCATTTAGTCGTCTGTTGCTTAACTTTTAGTCTTTCTGCCACTTTTTTATTCGTGCCTTGATTTTGAATGGTCGCAAAATGAGAAAATCCAAAAAAGAAGGCCCAAGGAGGGTGAATTAAACCACCTAATCTACTTTTCTTTTCTAATTTATAACCAACTAAAAATAATTCAATAAAGTTGATTGCCACTGGTAATCCAGTTCTACAAGGCTATTAAGTTAGCCCCAATGAGGGTGAAATAAACCACATAATCTACTTTTCTTTTCTAATTTATAACCAACTAAAAATAATTCAATAAAGTTGATTGCCACTAGTAATCCAGTCCTACGAGGCTATTAAGTTAGTCCCAAGGAGGGTGAAATAAACCTCACAGCCTCGGTGAGAAATAAAGGTGGAAATCAATCAAATACTAAAATTAAAAATCTCTAAAATCAATCCTAAAGTACTAATATTAAAACTTAAACAAAAACTCTTCTTTGGCCTTTAACAAAATTAGAATGCAAGAAACTATAATTAAATCATCCCATATAGGACATAACCAAAACTACATAGCCCACATACATAGACTTGTTTGTTAGGACACGACTATAAATTTTAGGTTAGGTCGATGTTCTGCTTTTCTTTCTGTCTCTTTGTTGTGGCGCTTTGTATGTGACCCGTGTGTCATTTGTTTTGCTACTTGAGTTAGTTTTCTGTGATGCTTTTCTGTGATGGTTTCCAACACTTTTTTTGCATTGTGTTGTGAACGATAGAGTACCCATTGGTTAGGAATGCTTTTTATACTGATGGTGTTTTCTTACAGATGGTCGTGCTCACACAGCACCAAAGGGGACTAAAATTCATAAATAAAATGTATAACTGCTATAGGTGCTTCAGTCGCTTAGCCCCCCAAATAATAAGAGCACGACCAAGGGTGATTGATTTTGAGCATTTTTATTCATATATAACTACTTGATTAATTAAGAATGATTTTAATTATAGCTTATATTATGAACCAAATCATACTGTATGATCAACACAAAATTAATATCTTTTTTAGCCTTTGGCAGCTTGGGTTTTGATAGAGCATAATAGATCATACAGTATGAATTAAAATTATATATTATAAAATAAGATCATATAATACAATGCTAAAATTATACATAATGATGTACTTAAAAAACCTCTCTCAAAAATTATTTTTCTCTCTCCTATGTATATACAAGGTTACTCAACAAAGATATCCATCTAATTATATTATATGACTCAATAAGTATTGTTTGTCATCATTAAAAAGAGGAAGATTGTTATAAATTGAGCTCACGAGTTTATATTTTTGATAATAACAAATATTATGGCTCACATCCTTATGTCTACTTGTATTTATAATGTATATTTATTTATATATATACTAACATTTTAGGAATACTATGTACCATGTAATAAAGATTCAAGGCCTAAGAGTGGGTAGAATAAGTTATGCTGTAAATATTTTAGCAATATTTATTGATGTATTTTAATTTCTTAAGTCAAGTCCTATATGGATGTAAGCTAGCTTGATGACCACACACACGCACACTTAGGGGGAGTGAGATTGAGTCAAAATAAGAAGTTCAAATTTTAAACTAATCATACTATATAATTTATATCATATTATATGATTAGCTCATTTAACTAATCATAATGTATGATATATATCATCCACAATGATCAATTATGATCATGAAAAATAGCTACCAATTATAATTTAGGCAAGATTTTAAGATTTAATTTTTTTTTAATTATTTAGGATGATATACATCATTTTAGATGACTTATGACAATCATGCTTAAATTAATCATATAATTTTAGGACTAATTATGGTTAATTTATTCAATCCGATTATTCAGGATGATCAATAATGTTCATACTGAAAGTTTATCAGGGATGTTAAGCCCTTATGAATAAGTCCCGAGGCTAACCAAGAGGGGGGGGTGGGGGTGGGGGGGGGGAGTGATTTGGATATTTAAAACTTCTTTAACTAAAATAAATATCTTTTTATATCTTGTAGCAAAAACAAAATAAATCAACAGTAAAAATATTAATCAGATATTTTACCCACATAGTTAATCGTAATA